AGCTGATACCATGGAAGCCGTCATGCCGAAGCACTGGATTCCCAATTCGAGAGACAGAGCATCCGAAATCCTGAGGCCCTAAACCCTAAACCCTAAACCCCTAAACCCCTAAGCCCCTAAACCCCTAAACCCTGAGCCCTTCCTTTCTTGTTGTGCTTTGAACTGAAAGGTCTGGTTCGGCTCTTGGGGGTGTCGGGGTTCTTGTTTTGGTGAGGTTTAGGGTTTCGAGTTTAGGGTTTAGGGTTTTAGGGTTTAGGGTTTAGGGTTTATGTTTTGGTGTTTAGGGTTTAGGGTTTAGGGTTTGGGTTTATGTTTTGGGGTTTAGGGTTCAGCGGTTGGGGTTTAGGGTTTAGGGTGTCTGGGTTCTTGTCTTGGTGAGGTTGAGACGGCTAAAGATGTGCGTTCTGTGCTGTGAAGAAGAGTAGAGTTGTCCATTTGGGTGGTTGTCAAAATTATGGTCCCTTTTTGGGGTACCCAAAATAATAGGTGCCGTATGATAATAATAGGATTCAAAAAGGGACCATAATTTTGACAATCACCCATTTAGTTTCAGGTGATAAATGGCCTGCCCTAAACCCGCAGCAAATTTGCTGCTGCACGGTGCAGGCCAGTGTATGCACTTCGGGGCCGGAGCTTTGGTGTTTTAAGTTCAAGCCTAAGCGTTAGGGTTTCAGAGATTTCGCTTTCAGATGGTGGTTGTGGCAGTGGGCGTGTTGGTGGTGATGTTGGGGTGGTGGCGGCGGTGGCGGTAGTGGGGATGGTGGATATGCTGGTGCTGGTGGTGGTATCAACACACGATTTGCAAATTGCTACGACTTAGGGTTGCGGGTTTAGGGTGTGCGGTCGGATATCATGTGTAAGTTCCGTGATCTTCCAAGATGAGTATTTCAACACTTGCCTCTGTACTGCTTTCATGCGGGCCCTGCAAGGGTTTTAACGAGCGGTGCAGTCAGCACGAAACCCTAGTATTTCTAGCCCCTGAACCCTGGCCCTAAACCCTAAACCATGAACCCAAACCCCTCAACCCTAAACCCCTAAACCCTCAACCCTAAACCATGAAGCCCAAACTCTCAACCCTAGACCCCTAAACCCTCAACCATGAAGCCCAAACCCTCAACCCTAAACCCGTAAACCCTCAACCATGAAGCCCAAACCCTAAACCCTGAACCCTAAACCATGAAGCCCAAACCCTCAAGCCTAAACCCCTAAACCCTCAACCCTAAACCATGAGGCCCAAACCCTCAACCCTAAACCCAGAACCCTAAACCACGAACCCTAAACTCCACCCAGACCCCCAGAAGGATCTAAAAAATAGATCCCCTGATTAGGGACCCTAACTACTAAAGGGTACTTTATAGGAACCCCCTTAGGGGATCTATTTTTTAGATCCTTTTGGGGGTCTGGGCAAGTGAGGATGTGCGGTGGCCTTGGTCAGCTGCCTCACCCGCTTGACGTCGACTGAACCCAAGGCCGGGAAGATGGCACAGTTAAAGTCAAGAGCAGGTTTGGAAGTTTAGGATTTAGGGGTTTAGGGTTTAAGGTGTAGGGTTTGGGGTTTAGGGTTTAGGGATTGGGGTATTCGGGGTTTGGGGTTTAGGGTTTAGGGTGTAGGTTTTAGGGTTTGGGGTTTAGGGTATTTGGGGTGTACGACTTTAGGGTATTTAGGGTGCGGAATAAACCCTCAACGCATATGCGAACCTGATCTTTTGTCGCGACACGCTTACATTTCCGCAGACATGAAGACGCCGCAAGGCCTCCAACCAGAAGACCGAAAAGAATAATCTAGGGATCTGCAAAGATCAGCCGACGAATGACGCTTTAAAGCGGTATATGAGATATGCTACCTTGTCCTATATGAAATGTGCTACCTTCTACTTAAGGACCTTTAGCCTTTGTATGGTCATGCAGACCCTAAACCCCAAAATCCCATGTAGGGTGTAGGGCAACGTGCTGTCAATTGTTACCCTTTGCCGCAAGGACTGCTAATCCATTGGCCGGTGGCGAACACGTGCTGCTGGCTCCAGGACGCAGAGACCTCGGACGCGGTGCAAAAAGCAGCCCCTTAACCCCCGAACCCTGAACCCTCAAACGTAATCCCTCAGCCCTAACCCTGAAACCTGAACCCTGAATTCTAAAACCTAAACCCTGAACCCTTAACTTTAAATCCTAGACCCTAAACCCTTGAACCCCTAGACCCCTAACCCTACGAACCCTATAAACCCCTAAACTCCCAAGCCCTAAACCCCTAAGGGGTGGAGGGTTAAGCCACAGAGCAGAAGGTATGGCATCAAGTTTCCCAGAGAACTGAACACACCTTAATTGAGGAAAATACCTTAAACTATAGGGGCCTTAATATTATGATTTAAGGTATATTCCTTAATTTAGGAGTATTGGGTTCTCTGGGTTGTAGGATGAATAGACGTTTAGCGGATCGTAGGGGTTTAAGGTTTAGGGGATCTTGGTTTAGGTTTTAGGGTTTAGCGTTTAGGGGCTTGGGGATTTCCGGTGCAGGCTTTTAGGGTTTTAGGGTTTAGGGTTTAGGGTTTAGGGTTTAGGGAGAGGGGGCTGCTGTGGGATGATATATCGGTACAAACCAGCGGTTTCCATCCTACGCACCAGTCCTTTCTGTAGGGTTCAGGGTTTAGCCCTAAACGCTAAACCCTAAACCCTAAACCCAATAGGGAGCAATCTGCAGGCTTGATTCGTAGTCTTTGCATAAAAAAAAAGCTTGTTGCGATGGTGTGGCTTTAGGGGTTTAGGGTTTAGGGCTGCTCTGCATTGTCTGGTAGGATTGTACTCCAACTCTTCAATCGCGGCAAGGCGGCGGCCCTCAATGAAACCCAACATCCTCCCAGAGAGCCCAATGCACCTTAATTTAAAAACATACCTTAAGTCATCAGAATAAGGCCCCTTATAATTTAAGGTAGATTCCTTAATTAAGGTGTATTGGGTTCTCTGGTCATCTTCCCCCGCCACCCTTCCACCCTCAAGTGTTTAGGGCCTTGCTAAACCCAGAGAGACCTAAGCCCCAAACCCTAAACCCTACAGTGACCATAGACCCTAAACCCAAAACCCTAAACCCAAAACCCTAAACCCTAAACCCTAACCCTACAGTGACCCTAAACCCACCACCTACTGTAGGCCCTGAGCGGCGAGCCTCAGAATTCAGCAGCCCGGTCGCTCCTTTAGGTTGCTTTGGGTTCAGGGTTTAGGGTTTAGGGTTTAGGTCAGGGTTCCGGTCGCTCCTTTAGGTTGCTTTGGGTTCAGGCTTTTGGGTATACCAGCACCCCCCAAGTAATGTAGGGGCCCTAATAACTAGAATAGGGATATATTGCACTAGAGTCATCATAAGGAACCCCCAAAAACAGTATAGGTCTTTCTTTAGGCCTCTATCTTACCCTTTAAAAGAGCCCTTCTGGTCCTTAAATCCTAAACCCTCGACCCTCAATAGTGGGTAAACCCTAAACCCTAAACCCTAAACCCTAAACCCTAAACCCTAAACCCTACAGAACGGAGGGTAGCTGAAGGGGTCCTGGCAGAGGCTTTCGGCCTCGAAGCTGAGAGAGTTCCAGAGTTCTGCTCTGAACTTAGGGTTTAGGGTTTAGGGTTTGGGGTTGGGGGTTTAGGGTTTAGGGTTTAGGGTTGGGGGTTTAGGGTTTAGGGTTTAGGGTTTACGGTTGGGGGTTTAGG